TTTATTGTGGAAGGAAGAGAAACGACACACAAAATGAGGTCTTCTCATTTAATACTATAGAGATGTAAGTGCATAATTTAGGACTATTTTTTTATTTACGTGCTTTGTTTCTAAATTATAGTATGGCGCTTCGAGGTATTTGTAAACATTTAAATTAAAGACACATTTTCACAAAACAGTCGATTGAGGTAGGTGCAAATACACGTGGATCTTTTTTTGTGCATAAGCATAAATTCCGCCGAAAAAAAATCACAGAAAAAATAATCTGTTTAACGCATTAATTTGCATCTCTGTTCCCGGCGACAGTTTTTGGGAAATAAATGGGGAATGTGCCCATGTGACACAGATGATGCCCCCGCTTGCATATAACATTATAAAGGGACATAACTCAAGGAGGTAAAAGTGACGCTACCCAAATTTGTACTTGATCTGAGTTTTGTGGAAATAAGCATTGTGTATCAGTTTCATAACATTTGGTTGAAGAATACTTAAGTTAGAGAACGGAAACGAAAAATTCAGCAATTTTCCATTTGTAAAGGGGAATAACTCTAGAACGGTAAAAGTGACGCCACCCAAATTCAAACTTTAGGCCAACCTTTTTTTATTATCTGTTTTACCAGATTTTTTCTGAAAATTTAGGGTCGGGGGGTCGAAATAAAAATAAAAATAAAAGAATGGATTTGTTTGAGTCGACTAAAAAAATAAAAATAAAAGTGGTTTTAACCCTTTTTTTTTTTTATTTTGAATATAATTTATCCCCTTCTCGCATTTACTCTTTTCTTGTTTTAATAGGTTTATGAGGAATTTGCTTCACAATAAATGAGTTTTACTCCTTGATTTATATGTTTAAAAGTGTTTATCATGCCTTAACTATGTCAAAGATATAAAAAGTTGTGTTGTAGAAATTTTCTTCTTTTTCAAGGCACTATAAACAAGAGTTTTCAGTATAAAATAATAAGATGTTGTATGATTGCCAATGAAATAACACTTCACCCAAGACAAAATGTTGTTGATGTAAAGATTTTTTGACATTGTGCTGTACCATACACTGAATAAACTGCTTTTGGCATATTTAATTTTTAATTATTTAATTCTACCATTGCTGGAGCGATATGTTGTTCTTTTGTACCATCGGACAAGTGAATCCAACCGTGTAAATGAAGCTAGAAAAGTACTCTTTGCACATAAAGGTAGATCAATCGAGTCTGTACCACCAACAAGAGAGACACTTTACCAACATGCCAAACGTTCTGGATTGATATGGATACAGTGTTTGCTTTTACAGCCTGTTCTTCCATCCCCAGACTTGTATGGTTGGAAGAAGCAAAACAACGGCATGTAAGAACCCGTTCTGGACAATATTGACAGAGGCAACCTCTTCACTACAGGTACATGTTCACTGTTGATGCAAGAAAGGATGTCGAGGACAATGCAAGGGTTTCAAATCCGCCCTTCCGAATACAGCTTTAGGCAAGTGTGGTGGGGATTGTGCCTGATGGACTGCAGAGTATAGGGTTTACCGACACAAACAAGATGAATGAACGTGTTATTGCATATAACAGCTACTGTATATATATTACTTTCAATTGTACTCATCTGATATATTTTTATTGTAAATATTGCAACGTCATATTGACCTGTTTTATTTTTTTTGTTATTTAAGCCGCCATCTTGGAAAAAACGGAAGTTGATAGTTTTTCATATTGGTTTCATAATTTTATTTGTTAAGAAGGGTCTAAAGAGATAATATATAAAGTTTCATTGTTTTACCACCTTGTGTATGATTTCTTTGATTTTTAGCTTAGAATTTTTGCAATTTTGTCCGCCATCTAGGAAAAAACCGGAAGTTGATTTTTTTCAGGTTGGCTCCATATCTGATTTTGCTTAGAATGGTATTAGGAGCTTATATACCAAGTTTCATGCTTTTACCACATTGTGCAGGGTTTTTCTGATATTTCCTGGACTAATTAGATTGGGCTACTCGGAGCTTACGGCATAAGAAATTTCAGGTTTGAAAGACCATAGGGTTAACTTTGCAAGTGTGTGTTTCAATCTGGTTTCCTATGCAAAATATTGAAGACTTAGATCCTGGTCCATTTCTATCTCACTTTTCATTTTATCTGAATATACACTATTGCAGTGATGCTTGTTTTCTGATTCAAACGGTTAGACATTGAAATTTCATACGAGTCAAGGTAATATGGATAATGATGTTTAACGTCCAGCTTCAGAGACATATTCAGGACAAACATTTTTATGATTACTAATCCTTCTTTTCACTAGACTGATACTCTGAGCCAGTTTTTTCAACATGCTAGTTCACAGGGTAATCGTCTGCAGGAAGACATGTCACCCTACCCGGACGCATTATTCGAACTCTGAGCCGACCCGTTTTTGCTCTTACTCCTTTATGCACGTCCAATGTGGAAAAGCAGCAAATATAAATTTTAGTCTTTAGTTTGACCCAGCTCGGGTTCGAACCCTCGACCTTTGTTTTGTATTTTTAATAGGGGTCAATAAAGAGATTGCTGTTCAAATGATGTTGCTCAGCCTCTGCATACGAAATTGGGCAGTGCACTCTTGTAACAGTCTTCAATTGGTTCAATAAGGTCCTGGTCTCGTAGGTATCTTCCCCACATCCTAATATCTATTATATATGTATACATTTTAATAAAAAGGCGGTTTCTACTGGCCATTCTATTAAAAACATTTTTAAAAGAAGACAACTCATACAAAAATGTAATCTGGATTTAAACAAATTAGGATTTTACACTGGAGATAGGCAGCATTAAAAATTGTAGTCAAAGGGGTATATAATTGTTCACGTTTTATTTTTGAGGGCGACATGAAATTGTCATTTAGTTCAAGTTTATCAGTATAGAAAACTGAAGAGTGCACTCTAGATGGTTTGGATGTCAGAAAGTTGGTTTAGGGTTGCTGTCTCATTGGCATTTTAACCACATTCCATGATCCGTTTCCAATTGGACATGGCAGTCATCAGCAGGTCATTTCAATCAATCAAAAAATAACTTATACTCAAATATTTCTTCTCCGAACTCTTTAAGTACCCACAGTGGGGTGTTAGTTTTTAACCCTGTGCAGTTGTTGCAAACATAACATAATTTTATTTTTTTTCGTTCCTGTAAATACACGATAGTTTTTGTTTTAAGTTTTTGTTTATTTTTAACTTGGTGTGTACTGGTTGACACACGCGTATAGTGTATCTGCGTTATGGAAATTTCGACCACATAGAAGTAGAATTAGTTGTGGTTTCCGCCTCGTCGGCAAAGCACCTTTTAACGGATACTGCTGTTGCCGATTAATAGGCATAATCCGAACAAATATCCCCCACTGTGCGGCTGAGTCTGCAATATCGTATTCTCGTGGTCTCTTTTCAATCAAAATAAAAACGGAAGCCTTCCAGGCAGTGACCAGTGTTCAGCCTCAGCGGCCATGCTAAAGATTATCGACTGGTACCCGACACATTTCGACGCGAGCAAACTTACGGGGGAAAAATCGAATACCATTTTTGGCTTCCAGCAAGGAGAGCGTGGTAAAGTGTTGATATTTTATTTTCACAACCGCAAAATTTAGGCGATAGGCGATAATAAAAAAAATAAATTTAACAGCATTCTCTTTTATTTAAAAAGAGAAAAGAAGAGTACACCCTTTTATGTTCAGGAGTGTTTGAGTTGACTTTTTTGTCTTGAAAATGTATAAAGCTTCAGATTCCATTTTTTTTTTTATTTAGCCTACAGGTTGATATAATGACATTAAATTCACAGTACTCAAAAATGAAATAAATGAGTCATAACAACATAGTAGGTGTGTTTAAATAACATTTTTTTTTACTAAAAGCACTTGACGATAGAGTTTACTTGTGGATCTTTATTGTGCATAACTTCAAAAAGAAAATTTATGTTTTGTGTGTGTTATTTAGTGTAATTAGTCTTCAACCTCTGAAAATGTTTAGTCCGACGAAAAATTTACATTTTTTTTTGGGTGTTTTTTTTTAACTTTAAAAAAAAAAAATCCCCTGACAACCAATCAGATACTAGTTTTAAGTTATAAAAGGCATAAAACTATACTAAATGATGTTTGATAGCTAGTACATAAATTTGTCTTTGAAAATACGACTGTCATGTAAGGATCGTAATGATGCTATGTGGATAAATTTATCGGTTCCAAGAGCTAAATTGGCGGCGCGTCATCCCTACAACATGTACAATGGCTTCCAGTTTAACGATTGAAAAAAAAATTAGGTGACGTAATGGGGTGATAACATTGACGAAGTAGAATCCTGACTGTTAGGGAACGACCATTTTACTTCAAAAGGGGGGAGGGGGAGTGGGTTATGGTTTTTTCCTAAAAAAATATTCTGATCCCCAATTTGATGAAAAAAAATATTTTGGTCAAGCAGATGACAAAAAAAAATATTCTAAATCCAGATTTTCCCCTTTATCTTATAGTGTTAAATTTTGAAAAAAAATAATTTGATTGATAGCGTCGAAAAACTAAAAAAAAAAATCTGACTCAAACAAAAAACCATCCCCCCCCCCCCCTTGAAGTTAAATGGTTGCTCCCATACGGCATATCTTCACTGAATATGTTATAGTATTACTGATTGACATTTAAGCATTGATTATATTTATTATTATTAGCTGAAATTGGGATTTGAACTAGCTTTCGGTAACTACGACTACTCTAAGATCAGTGTCTTTTGTCTTTTGTTACTTTTTGCGCTTAATAACAGAGTAGAGTCAAGTGCTTTCTAACTGATTTTTAAATTTACGTCGACTAAAATGTTATTCCATTCCCGTGCTAACAATTATTGGACTCCATTACTGCCATTAGACATACAAACCACAAGGGTTGCTATGTTAATTAAATGGACACTATAAACGAAAATCTTTGTGCCAAAGGACCAAACACAGCAGAAATCAAAGTACACGGAAATATTTCACAAAACGAATTGAAATTATAAGTGTAAATTAGCTTACCTTCAAACAAAAAAACTTGTTTCACATTGATTATTGTCTGACTGCTTTCTGTGGTATATCATTATCCAGGAAGTATGAATTAAAGGGCTTTAACCGATAGTGCAAAACGATTGCATTGAGTGACCCATGAGTCATCTCCCTTTAATTATTTTGTTTACGAGTTGACAACAGAACTAGTTAAAAAAACCTATCTTTCGTGAGTGAAATAATGTTTTTCAGGCATAAAAGAATTTCTACATATGAAATATTTTAATCTATCTAGCAGGATGTTCTATTTGTGCCAATTTCCCGTTCATTTGCGCCGGGTCTCTTTGCGCCAATTGTTTGGACAAACATCATTTTGAGATTGCCTATATAAGATGGTAGCGTCATAGTATTTTTGATTTTCGAATTTAAAAGGGTAAAAAAAGTAATCTGATACCTTCTGCTTTGTTTAAGTATATATGCATAGTTAAAACCACTAGTGAAGCTTTTGCTTGTTGATGTAATATCTTACAAACTTCCAATATTGACAAAAACATAGTTAATTAACATGAATATTGTATGAGAACTTTTCACCTAATAAGACAGTTGTTAGATTTTTTTGTCTTTAAAATTATGGTATTAAAATTTTATTCTTTTATTTTCGTTTTTAATTTCTTAACCCTCTTAACCCTTTCGTGGCCAAAACGACATGTTTGTCGTTTACCGCTAGCACGCCAAAACGACATTATTGTCGCTTTTTAGCAGAACCCACAAACCATTAAAAATGTATATAAAGAACATCATTTTACTGTCAAAACAATTATAGGTTTGAAGAAAAATAACTGACTTTGTTCTTTTATTCCAGAATAACCCTTAAAGTCCAAAATATATATTGTATTTTTGTGATTAAAAGTAATTTTTTTAGAAGTAAAGGGCAAATTTTTACACAAGCTATACTCCAATTATAAACTTTTTATGCCTTTATTTATCAAATTAACTTAGTGAAATTAGTTCACATGGTTGACTGTAAAAGATAAAAAATTAAGAAATAATTCATGGAAGCCATAGATTTGTTGAAAATTTACACATGGCCTGGTCTCGGCCATGTGTAAATTTTCAACAAATCTATGGCTTCCATGAATTATTTCGATTCTAATAGGACAAATACGGTAATTCAAAAACTGAAGCGAGGTTGGGTATGCCGTGTGCGTTGCTGTTCTGTTTTACCCCCTGTTAAATAAAGCCAAAAATTTCCAATAAATCTTTAGCTTAGTTTAAACAATATTTTATTTTCAAAAGTGCACAAAATACAATTATACAATATAAATTCTGGGATTCGGAAACAAGAAGAACTTATATAAATCCGTCTCCCTTAAAAAAATGACAAAATTAGGAACATAGAATAAGAAACTCGTATAATGTAATTTTCAATTCACATTACATGTTTATTCAGTGGTTTGCCCGTTACTCAGAAGTCAGTTTGATCGAAAAATGTTATCAACTCATCTTTTTGTATGATTGTGGTCTCACATGTAGCTGTGAAATATGTAAATGTTTCGAAAATAAGGTAAATTAAATTAAAGTTTTCAACATCTAAATTGACATAAAAATAATTGTTTATGAACCAAATCTCCCTGTTTCTAAAATAAAACTTTGAACAACTTTAAAAATATTTTCGTTTTCCTCATCACTGATGAGTTCACTACATGATAATAATGTTTGTATTTTATATCTTGGTAGTGTAGAAATGGTTTGTGTCCTGATGAGACTATAATTATGACATTCTAGCAGATAGTGTTTGGTGCTCTCAACCTGTCCACATATACAGAGGTTGGAAAGAACAATATTTTTCTGGAAAAGGTGTTCATTTAAGCCACTGCAGTTCAGCCGGAGTCTGGCGTGAAGTATTTGGCCTTTTCTACAACCAGTATTATAATATGAAGGGGCTTTCTTAATATCTCGATTTATATAATTTTTAAGTGTAAATTTAGATGGATTATACATCTAACATCTTGTGGAAGGCTGTTCCATTCACGAATAACAGATGGTAGGAAGGAATTTTGATAAAAAGTAGTTCTACAGTTCATATTTTGAACATTTAATGCCCTTCTAGTATTATAGTTATAGACTTGATAAAGTTGTTAAGGTACGAGACTACAAAGATAATTAGGAGCTTGATCATGAAACATTTCGTGAAATTTAATAATTTTATGTCTGGATCTTCTTTCACTCAGAGATACCCAACCAGTATCATTATAAAGTTTAGATTTAGAGCAAAGTTTGGTGGCACCTGTGACTATACGAGCCGCTTCTATTTGAATACTCTCTAGTTTGTCCTTTAAATAAATTGGTATGTTATCCCACACAGTATCCGCATATTCGAGTATAGGCCTGATAAAACTGATATAAATAACTTGTAGATTATTACGCGATAACTTAAACTTTAAACTCCTCATAAGATTTAAGCGCGGCGTAGCTTTATCAATAATATAGTTAACATAATTTCCCAACAGCCGTTTTCTTGAAAAATTAACCCTAAATGTTTATGTTCTTCAACCTCTTGTATCAGTGTATCATTCATATATATTGGTGGATGATGGGGTTTTGCTCTTTTTCTAGATATGGTCATGGTTTCAGTTTTTCTTGGATTAAAATTAACAAGCCATTGTTGAGACCATAAGTGATTTTTTTCTATATCAGAATTCATTAATTCAGCCGTAGCATACTCGTCCTCAACAACTATATATAATGATGTGTCGACAGCAAAAAGTCTGATGTTGCATGATATGTCACATACAATATCATTTATAAATAATAAAAATAATACAGGTCCTAAAATTGAGCCCTGGGGGACACCTGCTTTAATGCTATAAACATCAGAGGTCTGTCCTTCTATGACAATTCTCTTTTTTCTCTCAAATAAATAACTTTTAAACCATTTTAGTAAGTCCCCTCTTATTCCATATTTTTCTAGTTTATGAAGGAGGCATTCATGCCAGACTCGGTCGAACGCTTTACTGATATCACAAAACACAACTCTGATTTCCATTCCAGAATCAAGGGCTTTAGCAATATCGTTGGTAATATAATTAAGTTGATTAACAGTACTATCTCCAGGCATAAAACCTGATTGCAAGTGTGTAATTATTTTATAGCGAGAAAGAAAATTAAATAAATATTTAAAAACACATTTTCCCATCGTTTTACCAATAATAGATAACAGAGAGATTGGTCTATATTTTGATAAAGTTTCTTGAGAACCACTCTTGAAAACTGGTATTACATTTGCTATTTTCCATTCATACGGATAAATGCACAATTGAAGTGACTTATTGAACAACAGAGCCAGAGGATAGCTTAATTCGCGAGCCGCATATTTAAGAAATCTTGGGCTAATGACCTGTTGCCTTAGACACATCTAACAAGAGGAGTTGGTCATGAACTTCTTCTTGCGTTATAATTATATTATCTAAAGTATGAATGATGTCATCTAAATTTAATTCTGGGATATTTGTAGATGAGTCATCAACACTTGATTGATCACAAAAATAACGATTAAAGGCATTTGCTTTATCCTTATTATCGTCTAAGTAGGTATCATTTAATAGGATAGGGGGGTAGTCTGAGGATTTGGAAGGAAGCCCAGCCAAGTTACGCAATTTTTTCCACCAATTCTTAATGGAATCTACGTGTGAATCTAATGATTCACATTGTTTTTCAGAATAATGGGTTTTTGCTAGTTTAATCAAATTTACACATTCATTCCTAATTTTCTTAAAGTTTTCCCAAGACTCGGGAGTATTGTATTTTTTGGCTTTTTTGTGCGAACGTTTCCATTTACGAATTTGTCTCCTGATAAAATGATGTCATCCAAGGAGGATCTTTCGTGCGAACAACAATTAATTTACTTGGTATATGCTTGTTAGCAGCATCTAGAATTTTTTGTGTAACAATGGAGACTGCATTATTTAAATTCGTATCAAGTAATGTATCCCAGTCAACTTGTCTTAACTCCTCACAGTAGCGATCGTAGTCCCCTTTTTCAAAATTCCAAACCTTACGTTTAAATTTGGTGTATTTCGGTTTGTGTAAATTAAGTATTCCACTTACTGGACAATGGAACCTAGTATTTGCTTCCAAAATATTTTCACTCAATTCGTGATATGCAAGAATATGGATATCATTAACTACAAGGGGGTCGAGGAGTGACAATAAAATGTTGGCTCGGTAATTGCTTGGTGCATACCATTATCTAATATTATGTTTTTTAAATTATTACGGTTTGTCAGTAGTAAGTTTTCGTTGAAGTCACCCATGACCACTATACTTTCTATACCGCTATTTACTGCGTTTTCGATTGATTGATTTATATGATTCCAAATATGATATGGTGAATCCGGAGGTCTGTAAAATAGGCCAAACAATACTTTACGATCCTTAACTACTACTTCAACCCATAAGTATTCGAGAGTATTGATTTCTAGATCATTTCGTCGCTTACTTGGGATATTTTGTTTTACATACATCATGACTCCCCCTCCATGCTTATCACCTTCTCTGTCGTTACGATAAGGAGCCTTAAAGTTTGATAATACAACTGATTTGTCTGATATGTTCGGCTTTAACCAAGATTCTGTTAACATAATTATACCTCTATCCCCAAGCTCTGCCTCCAAAATATCAAGTTTTGATTTTATACTTTGAATATTAATGCAAGTAAATGTAATCAAATCGCGAAGACCTAAATTTGAAACTGAATCATTTAGGCTAGCATCATTTGTAATTGATGGCCCAGGATTTGTTTCAATATCACCAGAAAGCAAGATAATAAGAACTACAAGAAATATTAAATAACAAATAAGCTCATTTTTCACAAAATGGTACCTCGATACGTCTTTAAACACAGTGGAAGTTAAACGTGAATTGGGAATGGTATTATGGGAAGTTGATCTAATTCAAATATTACAGTATATAATAGAGCAATTGTGATCCCTAAATAACTATATCGAAGCATAAGTAATACAAGAACAACAGTATTCATGTCAATACATTTTTTACGATGAAGTCGAGTTGACCTTGTATAGTTTAACCCCACCCTTATTCTATAAGTAGTTATATCAGCAGACATATAA